TTATTTATCTTTAAATTTTGAATAAAAAAATTTTTTTGAAAATAAAAAATTTTTTTAATAATTTAATAAATAAAAAAAAAAAAAAAAAAAAAAAAAAAAAAAAAAAAAAAAAAAAAACTATTTTATTGCAATTATTGCAAGTTTTGTCGGAGAAAAGTTAAAAAGGATTTTTTTTAAAAAAATAAAAATCCAATTTTCCTAAAATAACTTTAGTAGATGATGTAATGATTACTAAAACTAGGAGAACTTGAAAGGACTTTCTATCAGATTTAAATGTATAAAGTATGTAAAAAGTATGTATAAAAATTGGGGTGTTTTCTCTTTTTTTTTTTTTTTTAAAAAAAAAAAAAAAAAAGGTGAAAAAAGAATGAAGAAAGAAAAGCGTTGTTGAATGAGTAATGGGAAAATCCGGAAATTAGAATTAGAATAATTAGAATGAATTTGAAATATAAATGTTGATCTTATTTAATATTTATTCATTAAATTCAACAAAAACGGAAATTTTATTAGTTGTGATTCAATCAAATTCTGCGCCACCGAATTTTGATTGCAAAATGACAAGGAAAAAGGTAGAAATTCGAGAGACGGTGAAAGTCTTCCCAAATCTTGGAACACATGAAACAAAATAAAATATAAAATTAGAAAATTTAATGTTTTGAATTTATTTATGGAATTCTAAATTAATTTGTGCATCACAAAATAAAGGTTACGTATTGATTATTTTCGAGAACGAATGAAAGGGTTCATTATAATAACATTACTAAATTGTTTATAATGATTAATTTGTATCGAGCTATTATAATTTATCCATATGCGGGTTTAAAATATGTAACGTACACAGATGGACCGGTTAATTATCCACAAAATAAGGGAGTTGACATTAAATCACACATGCACTATTCGCAAAAATTTTTATTTCATGAAAGTTTCGCCAATGGAGGTTAGTATGAACGAAAGACAAATATTATTATTTTTCATCCGGTTTGGCAATAATCAGTTGGGAAATTATCCCCTATCGATAACATCATCGGATAAATTATTTCAAATTAATGATGTCATTGTAAGAAAAAAAATTATAAATACCCTCAAAAATAAAATGCTCTCTTTTTGAATGTTAGACCATACTGTGCTTGAATTGAATTTTCCAGAAGATTTATAGAAACTTTGTGGTTCGATACGTTTTCCTGGTCATATTATAATGACGATTGAGAAAGTAAGCTAAAGTAATTTTTTTAATTAATTTGATCAAAAGTACTCACGAATGTTTTTTATTATAAAGACGGTGGTTTTGATACAAGAATCACGATCTACCAATAATCTCACCAAAAATCTATTTAAAGTTGATAGGCCATTAAAGTCACATAACGAGTTTGTAATAATTTTTTTATCATGATTTAACCTTCGCGAAAAAATAAAAGCTGATCGTCCCCCTTAATCGATAATAGAATACGTGAGAAAGAAAGAAAGCAAAAACCATTAGTAAAACCTACAACAAGTATCAAAGATATTCCAATTCACATACTGAAGCAAATAATATCCCACACATGTGTAATCACAAATAAGAGACGCATCTCTTCGCTAAGACAAGTGTGTCGCGATTGGAATATCACGATAAATCGCATGATATATGACAAAATAACCCAATTATTCACAAATCATTCCCCTAAACTAACCCTTTTGATGAGATGTCAAAATCACCTTGGTACAGTTATCAACTTGGATATTCCACTACGGCAGGGAGGCTTAAACAATAAATACTCTGTTGAATTCTTCACTCGTTCTAATCACGAGAAACCAATATTTGTTGAACGTTATAGAATTATAGATTTTTATTATGTTTTTACTTATTATGATGAAGGGAAGAAAATTTTTAGAAAGGAAATAGAAATTTCAAGGCTTTCTATGATTTCTGGAAAAATCATTAATCCATATGTTAGTTCTGATGTCGCAATGATAGATTTAGACTTTGCTTTTCAGTATGTACCTTATGAACCTATGACTTTTATAGTGAAAGCTATTAGCTTTAGTCCAATCTATGTGTTAGATTGGTTCAATGTTGAATAAATAAATTGTACATAAGTATTCCTTTTTAAATCGCGATCCGATTCTTGCATCAATCAAACGTAAGATGATGAGATGATGTGTTTGATTTGACTCAGTAAAATGTCATAAATAGACAAGAATTCATGAATATGTAAAATTCATATCTCAATTTTTCTTTCTCACACTTCAATCTTATTCGTGCTTTAACAAATCGTTTTTATTTTACCTTTGATAAATCAAAGTTTCCCTGCGCGAGCCAACACTTTTTTTTGCTCAAGGTAACATATTAATTTTGGAAACGTTTCGCAAAATCTTAATTTTGAACTTAAATCTATAAATATGCATATTTGAACTTTAGCGGAAGAAATGAATATCGATTCTGGATATTGGGATGATTTGAAAAATGACAACTTTGGTGAGACTCTTGTAAGTATATTATTAACCTTTAAGGTTGAAGGTTAAATTTCATAAAATGATACCATTTATTACCTTTACAGGACGAGAGATTCTTGTATATCTTGTGTAACGATTACGAAAGGTAACATATAATAATATAATGGTATTTCTAGGGTTGATTTATTACACGTTCTTATTATTTTTTATTAAGATACGAGGATATGGTCGTATCTAACAAATTAAATAAAGAAGTTAACGCCGAATTTTACCAAGAGCGATTGGACGCGCTTTTAGAATCTAAGAAGATCCAGTTGGAGAAATTAATTCAAATTCAAGCCAAAGAAATCGTTGAACATCGAAAATTATTTTATCAAAGTGTAGATTTAAAATATGCGAAAAGAAAATATTCAATGACTGATACTTTAACTAGTATGATATTACATCCTGAAGTTGAGAAAATTTTGATAAATGGAGGACACTCAAATCCTTCTCAACATGATCAAGGAAAAGAAAAAATTGGAACTATGAAAGATGTTGCAGATGCCATTAAAAGAAAGATTATCATAAAAGATGATGATCCTATAATTGGGCGAGATGAATTATACGTAAGTTTTTTTTATTTCTATTCCAATTTATTTTGTTTTTTATAAAAAAAAAAAAAATACACTATATTATTTTCCTTTATTTTAGCGACAATATTACGCCGAACTTGACCAGATTAAGGAACGTCAAGAAAAAGAACTTCGAGATTACTTGTCATTTTATAATAGAGAACAAGAGTATTTTGAGAGATGTATGATCAAGGTTAAGAAAAATGATGAAATCGCATTTTCCGCTGTTTCATCTAGTAATGATGATACAAACAACAACAATCTCGGATTAATGAAATTTCGAGCGGAATATAATTCCATACCAAATGTGCATAAAAGTTCAAAGGTCACTTTTGTTACTTTGGAAGACTCAACTAGTGTTAAAGTCGAACCCGCTTCTTATGGTATTTAAGTAAAAATACCTTAAATAGTAAACCATTTTTTTTCTATTAATAATGCGATTTAATAGATTGGCCTGCAACTATTGATCTTAAATATCATATAAACATTTTTAGAAAAAAATTTTATACGGATTTCTTGATATAAAATAAATAAATAATAAATTTATAATTTAGCTTGCTAATTGTTAATTTCAAATATCAAATTTAAAATTATTTGTAGAACCATTTATTTGAATATCATTAAATAAATTGAGGTAACGAATGGAACAAACAATTGCTTTCTTTTTCAATTTTTGGAAATGAAATGAATTTCAAAATTAATATCCGATATATTATGAATTCAAATAATTAAGTTTAAATTATAATATAAAAAAAAAAAAAAAAAAACCTTTAATATATTGTACTTAAAAAAAACTATACTTAACTGATTATATTGAGGGCGATATGGTTTCTCCTATATCCAATAAATAATTTATATATAAGATGACATGAAACTTCTCAAATTAACGGGGAGTAAAAGAAAAAAAGAAAAAAAAAAAAGTGGAGAGAAAAGGAAGGGATTGATGACAAATGTTTTAAAGAAAAAACACACGTTGATTTATAAAACCAATTTTCACGACTCTTTTAATAAGCTTGAGTTGTTTTTTTTGCTTGCAAAGTAGGTACAAATAAAGATCTCGAATTATAAATCATGTTTGCATTTTTCGAGTTGCTGATTTGAAGTTGGAGTTGTAATTGTGCCGAAAGTTTCTTAACGGCACGATCACGATTTTGAATTTTGTTAAATAATGGGTAGAAAGGTGTCAATCTTCTTTGGGGATCCCGTTTAGGTTTAACCATGATAGGCTCATGTGTTATAATAACTTCACGAGGGATGTCAATTGATTTAGGAGTTGGAGTTGAAGTTGGAGTTGGAATTGGAGTTGAAGTTGGGGTCGAAGTTGAAGTTGGAGTTGAAGTTGAGATTGGTGTTGGTGTTAGTGTTGGTGCTGGTGTCGGTGTCGGTGTCGGTGGGAAAACTTCTTCTTCACTAACGAGATTTAAAATTTTAACAAATTTTGAAATATTTATGTCAGGAGCATTACCTAGACCAACTTTAACTTTCAACTTGTGATAAACTGAGAGGTAGGTTGAATCTAGAGTATAAACCAATTGTCTTGCAAAAGGAATGTGCAATTTTATTTCTATAAAGCATTCATTGTCAGGTCCGGATGAAATTGGAAGATCATTCGCAAGTACAGTTTCTTCAACGAGATATTTTTTTGTTGATGTTTCATATTCGTCTGTTCGTAATTCGTGATATTCTTTTATTCCTACGAATAATTTCTTGAAGTAAACTTGAGGTTCATGAAAATATAATTTTACAGGAACAACGATGGTTTCTCCTGGACCACAGGTTGATTGTGCTAAGGATACATCATATCCAAAAACGTGCGGTTTTGCGGGTCCATCCTCCTTGATAAACCAACGAGAAGGTTCTGGTTGTGGAGTGATTGTGTAACGAGTGATGGGAACTACCACTTTAACAACTTTTTTTTTAATACGTGAATTAGGATCCATGCGCCGTCTTGAAATAACAGCCCTAAGCATGTAATAAAGTCTTCCACATCCTTTATCCATCGTGATCGAAGGGGGGAGATTCTCCGGTAACTTAAATTTGAAAGGTAAGTCAAGGGATTTTATGGCTTCATATTGACCTTTGCTTTGTGACCTCCAAATTGTGATGTTATTACAAAAGAATTTACGCTTTGCCGTATGAGTGGATATCTTTAATTCATCTTCGATGCCTTCAAAAGATTCACTTTCATCGTCTTCTTTAATGTCATCTTCACCTTCCATTGGGTTACCCGCAAAAAAAACATATTCTTTTCCCACGAACGAAAGGGTAATCTTCTTTGCGAATAGTGGTTTTTCTTCATCATATTTTAATTGTAGCACACCTTCTATTGTTGATTTATCAGCTCCTAAATAACCTACTTGAAAGGATGCCTTCCCAGGGGCATAGGTTAAAAATGCCCTCTTACTATTTCTTGAATAAGGTGCTTTAGGAGCCAGCCCATCTTTACAGTTCAATTGTTCAAATTTTGGTGACATACCGCAAAGAAAGGAATAGAATTAATGAAAAATAAAAAAGGGTATAAGAATCAAAACTTTGTGTATTTAATGTTTTTTGATAAATAAAATCAAATCTTCGGTAATGATCACTGTAGCTTAAATACATTCACATGTAACAAAGGTTGAAAGGTTACCATCTTATCTTAAATAAGTCATAAATACCGATATAATCATCAAAAAAAAAATAAGGGGAGCCCCGCGTTTGAATCTTAAATCGGGTTATATTCATGATCTTTAATAAAGGGGGATGATCATAGGCAATCACGTTTCGTCTCAAAACAATAATAATAGCACGCCTTAAAGGAAAAAAAAAAAAGTCTTACATCTGTTAATTCATTTGTTTTAAATTACGTGTTCAAAAAAGCAAAGAATCTACGTTTTAATTATTAAAAAAAACTAATTCTGTATTTCATTATTTATTGGTTCGAAACCCTTATTAGGGTGATTTCTGTTAGTGTGAAATAATCACGTCACGAATTCGTGAACGAATAAAAAATTTATTATTTTTTGACAAATATTCCAAATTATTAAATTATTAATTATTTTAATTATTAATATTAATATATTATAAGAAATAAAAATTAGAGAAAAATAAAATCAATACAAAGTTAAATTTAATAATCATTTTTTTCGCGAATAGGTACGATCCTAACATTACTAATAATATAACTTGTTTCATATGGGCCGAAATTCAATGAATTAACCCCTTGAGAAGCGCTTCCTGTGTATTTAATACATCCCGGTAAGAAACGTAAGGTTGCAATTACATTGTAAGGGGGTGCAGTTGCGGGTAATTTAATCTTTTCCGAATGAACGAGAGTTTTAACAACATCTGAATCGTTAGTGTAAATGTATGTTCCCCAAGCTTTGGTATCGCTATTTGTTGCGTTGGCAATTGTGAGATATTCTGATTCAATCAAAACTTCTAAACATTCTCCTTCTTTTCCTTTTGGCACATCGGGGTAAACGCAAATGTCGTCAACGGTCTAGAATATAAAGAGAAATAAAATAAGCGCCTTTTTTTTTTTTTTTGCGAAATTTTTTTTTTTTAGGAATGGTATATTTTTTTACCTTTGGTTTGGTGACAATTTCAAGTGTTTGTATTTTCCCGTTCTCCATGGCTAAAGCTAATTCCTCTTCAAAGGAAATAGCAATCCGATCTTTATCATCGTCAATGTAATAAATTTCGACGTTTTCATCGTAACCCACATCGAAACGTTCACGTATCTAAGTACCATGACATGAAATCAAAAGAAAGATAAACTTTCAATTTAACATAATCAAACCACACTATGAATTTCCGTAACAAAGAATATTCACCTTGGCCTCCAATTCTTTCAATTTAATGTTTTTATTGATAACAATATTACGAGAGAATACTTCACGAAGATTGGTGTATCTTACTTTAATAATCATCGTTTCTCCGTTAATTATATTAAGGTTCATAAATTTCTGTTGAATTGAAAGTTAAAAAGAAAGTAGTTTCTTAAGGAAAAAAAAAAAGAAAAGAAAACTATGTAACTTATATAATAAAAATGTTTAAATGATATGTATTATATATACATAACTCATAATTATTGAAAATATTTCGAAATTTTATAAAAGATTATTTACCTTCTGTACCGTCCATAGCAATCGTTCGAACAACATTTTGTCCTAAATGTTGTGATACTTCAAGTACAAGACGACTACCTTCTTTATCAACTTCCAAAGAATTTAAAATGGAAGGCAAGCTTGCTTCGCTGAACTGTACGTCAACTACAGCTCCAATAATTGCTTGAATTGTACCGGTATTAGCCTCGGAGGCATACGACCTCCGGTCTATTAGAATTTTACGAGAAAAAATTATTATAAATATAAATATAATATATAATTTTTTTTTTAAAAAAAAAAATTTTATCAAAAAAAAAAAAAAAAAAAAAAAAAAATTTGTATACTTTTAAAAGCGATAGGATATATTCCATTTCTTAGTAGATTCAAAGAGGAAACATTATTGCCAAACGCCGGTTTTCTGCGTATAAACCCTGACGCTGCACGGTGAAGGAAATTCATTGTAAAAGACCGCTCGTTAACTCCAAAGCAATATACTAATATATTAGAAAAATTTTTGTAAAGTGAAATTTTCTGTTATCATTCATCATCTTCGTGTAACCTAAAAATCTTCGGAATTTTCAGGAATTTCGTTAATCTGTTCGTGAAATAGATCGAAAAAAAAGTCCTAACCAATAGCATACAATAAAATATAATAAAAAGAGTACAAACACGTTGGTAATCATTATTTTATCCAAATGACTTATGAATAAATTACAAAAATTTTATTATTATGAATGGTTAATACGTATTCATAAATACATATTATGTCAATTGAACTGTTTATAAGGATGGTTATAATACCAATAATGACAAAAAGAAATGTATACAATTAGGAAAAAAAAATTAAAAAAAAAAAAATTTAAATAAGAAAAATATGAACATTGAAGATAGGATCATCTATTATATATAATTTTAGGGGGGAAACAATTTATCACATGGTTAAAATAAATTATCCTTCAGAAGAATGAAAGTCCAGTTAACCATAATACTAATTATGATATTTTAATCATGCATAAATGAAAAAAGTTAATGTTCACTAAGATAATTAAATAACGTATCGTGTGTCCAAATCATCAGCGAAATCCATCACCAGTATTTTTTGATCCTGACTTGAACTATTATTTTTCAAGGTCATAGAAAGGAGGTGTTATTTCAACTTCGAAGGAAAAAGTTTAATTCGATTAGATAACTTACCTAACAATTTTTGTTAAACTAAACTGGACGTCAAATACCCAACTTGTATGACCTTCATGGAAATCAAGCAATTGTTTCCCAGATTTCAAATCCCAAACTTTAACAGTCTGATCATAGCTTCCACTGACAATTTTGTCATTGTCAAAATGTAACGTTCTAACTAAATCAGTATGTCCATCAAGAGTTCGAACACATTGTGCTGTTTCAACATCCCATATCTTAATTGTTCTATCATTAGATCCTGAAACAACGTATTTTCCATCAAATTGAACACATGCCAACCCACGTGTATGCCCAACAAAATCTCTAATACACGTTCCCTTCTCTAAATCCCAAAGTTTAATTAAGGCATCACCAGAGGCCGAAATGATTCTATTATCCTTAAGTTGAACCGCATTAACTGGACCTCGATGACCGGATAAAGTACGAAGATTTTCACCGGTTTGTACATCCCAAACTTTAATCGTACTATCTTTTGAGCAAGAGACTATATGATAACTATCAAAACAAATGTCTAATACGCCAGCACAATGTCCTTCCAACCGCATCAATTGAGGCACATTTTGTTTATAATTCGACATATCCCACACTATAATTGTCATATCGCTCGATCCTGAAACCATGATATAATTATTATATTGTAAACATAAGACTGAAAGATCATGTCCATGTAACGTCTGGAAACAATTCCCAGTGTTAATGTCCCAAAATTTAATGGTTTTGTCACGAGATCCAGTCACAATCTTATGTTCATCAAATTGAATGCAATATACACTATCTGAATGTCCTTTAAGATATCGCTTTTCACATTCACCCTTTTTCCATCGTATTGCAAGTGTATATCGATTTTTATACATGTGCTTCCAGTCAACTTCACCTGCAAGCGTAACTTCGCGTGGCACATTGTGTTTCCATCCCTCATTTAACGCATACATGCCACGCCATATTTCGTTGTCTCGAGAAATACAATACCATGCACGAGACACTCTTGACATTCTACATAATGTCTTAAAATCCACAAACACAAGTATATACGCGGCTATTTCGTATGGAAGGGAAATAAGAAAATCTAAGTATAAATGAAAGATATAAAGAAATTTAATTATTGATAACTGATTATTTATAAAATGTAATGGCACAATGAACTAATTTTATTCATACTAATATTAATTTGGGAACAATTAGATTATTAAATAAAATGCGTCCATATCTACTATCACGCGCGATAAATAAAATTCTTTATTCACCTATCTTGGGAGTCAAATCTTCAACTGTGAAAAAGCCTTCGTCTTCAACTTCTGGTACATTTGGAAAATGAGGTTTTGTCGGTGATAAAGCCGAAAGCTGTCTACGACTGATAGTCCTATTTCTTGGATCTTCATTAATAACTTTGGTGAAGATTTTCAAAAATCTAGATTTACTACCTAAAAGTGCAGATTTTGGGCTTTTCATTCTCCTTTATATTAAGTAAATAAAGTTTTAACCCAGAGAATAAATAGGTAAGTTTAACAATAAATGATATTAGTTTTAACGAGATAAAAAAAATCAAACAAAAAAACCAAAACCAAAAGAAATATGCAATTATGAAAAATTTTGATTTTGATTTTCAACTTTATAATATCCCTTTTCAAAATGAAATATATATAAAAAAAACAACAAAAAAAAAAAATACCAAGATATTGAAAAAAAAAAAACAGTAAAACAGAAGCTCATAAGCTATAAAAGACACAAACCTTAAAAGATATAAAAACAAAAAAATGGCAAATAAAAAAAAAAATAAAATAAAAATAAAAAAAAATGCAAAGACGTTTCGAACTTAAGGAATTTTGTGAGGTTCTTTATATAAATATATTAAAGGAGCCATAGAAGTTCAGCATACAAATCTTATGTAACATTGTTATAAATAGATAGTCTAAGTTTTTAACAAAAAAAAAGCTGAAAATGGTTGATTCCGTTTTAACGCAAGACAATGCGAGAATTTCGATCGTAAGTTTATTTTAGGAAATCATATGGGATGACGTAATAGCTATTCCAAATTCTCTTTTGGATATTGGTAACAAGCGTGAATTTTGTGGTTCAACTTACTCGACCAATAACGTGCGATTGTCGGTGTTAAAAACATAAAAGTGGCTTGGATTAGTTTTAATTGGTAAACATACAAATTATTTAGAAGGCCAATTTTGGCTGTTAATAATATTATTTTTATGAATACTAATAAAAATACAAATTGATATAAAAACTTATTCTTATTAAGAAAAGTATTAATTTCTTAATAAAATATAAAATAATAAATTTAATATAATTATTATATAATAATTATATATTTTATCAATTTTTTTGAAGAATTTTCAAGTTTATTAAGAAGTTTTTAAATTGATTCAATATTAAAAATTAAGTTTTAAAAATTTCTTTAAAATTATATTTACTAAATATAAGTCATAAAATTTCTTAAAAAATTATATAATTATAATAATAAAAATTGTTTTTTATATAAATTTTATAATATATATTATAATTAATAAGTTAAAAATAAATTTAATAAGATTAATAATAAAAATTACAAATTTCTAATTTATAAATAATTTTAAATTTTTTAAAAATAAAATAATTATAATATAATATATATTTATAAAATAATTTATTTTAGAATTTTAAATTTTTATATAATTAATTCAAAAAAAATTATAATTAAGATTGTTAAACGAAACTTAAGTTTTGGTAAATCATCTAAATAGTAAAAAATAAAATTTAGTAAAATTATATTAAAAGTTTGTGAAATCTAAAAAAAAATAAAACTATATCAAAGTTTATAAAATGCGAAACTATATTAAAACTTTAATAATTATAATAATATAAATAATTATCAGTCAATAAATATATTCTTTTTATTGTTAAGATAAATATCATAAAATAATTTTTATATAAAACTTAAAATTAATATTTTAAATCCATTTTTTTTATTTTTAAATAAATCTATATAAATTAATAAAATTGTCATATAATAATTAACAGATTGTATATTAAAATAAAATAACTAAAATTTACAAAATAACATGAAAATATTTTTAAAAAAATTATATTATAGTAAATTATATTTGTATAATGAAATTAGTAATCATTTACTATAACAAATTATTCATTATAGCATTAACGAAGATTCTTATAATGAAGGTCTAATTAGTTAGATTAGTAATTTTATTATATTGAAATGCAACTATATTTATTTTAAAGTTGCTTTATTAAAAATAAATAAGTGTGATTCTTCAAAAAATACAATTTATGTCTTAATAAATTTATTTTTTAAAAAGTTACTTTTATATAGAAATTTTTAGTGATTATTTATAATAAAATTTTTAAGTTAATTCTCCTATCTTATTACAAAATAACTATATAATGATTTTCTCATCAATGATTAATGTTCATATCATATTGAAGTAATTACTATCTAATTATCTTATAATAATCCTATAATTAATGATTATATAATTTCATAAAAATGTTCTAATTATTATTCTATTATTACTACATTTCCTTCTTTTAGTTCCCCTTTCTTAGAGTTTTCTTTTAGTATACAGTCAACTCTTAATATAGCGAACTCTTGATATAATGAATTTTTTAAATAAATATAATAAAATACTCTTATTATAACGAATTGGCCAATCAAATCTCTTAAAATCTTCATTATAACCTTATAGCGAAGTTGAAGTCTAGAATATAGAGTTCGTTATAATAAAAGTTAACTATACATATTTTAGGCTTGTATCACTTATTATCATGATTAATGATCTTCTTTTTTAATAATTTGATACTACCAATGACTTTATTAAATTTATAAAACAAGAAATACAAAGTAAATTAAATAAATCTATAATAAATACTAGATATTTCCTATAGTTATATTATAAATCTATTTAAATTAACTGATTATCATATTCTCTCTCCAATAACCCTACTAAATGCATATTTAATAAAAATTATTATCAACAAGAGAAAAAAAAGAAAGAAACAGTGCCTATCTAAAAATTTAAAAATACGTAGCCAAATTTATTTACCATATATATCTAAAATTTTCATCAGCAGGATAGAACTGATATCTTTTTATATATTAAAAATGAACTAGTATTTTGCTTAATCTTATCTTCTTTAGTGATTCCTAATGATCATTCTTTTTTGATTATCAAATTGTAATGATATTTCCAAATATCTTCAAAAAATTTTTAGTAAAAAAATAATAGTTTATATAATAGTAAAAAAGTAACAATCTT